TGCCCGTACAACCACTACATAATTCTTCCCTGTGAGAAATTGTCACAAGTGTGTGTAAACTGCTCCCTCTAGTGTCATAACAGTGTACATGCATCCATCCATCGAGACTGTATGCAGTGAAAGAAGTATCGTGTTTCTCATTCAAAAGGCCTCAGTAAATTCATTTTTCAATAATTTGGAGTTACAGATTTTAAGTAAACTGTAGAAAGAATATTTTAAAGTCAAACTGCAGACAGTTATGTAGATTTCTCAAGTAAAAAATATCTCTTTTAGGAGGAAATGCACATTTTGTGCGCGCGCACTATTTTATGGTATTTAAAATGATTAAAAAGCTGTACTAACTAGCCCCAGTTCAGCTAGTTCAGTTCTGGACCAAGTTTAAATGTATTAATCAAGCTCTCATACTGTCCGTGTATCTTTCTTCACACTCCTGTGTGTGTGTGTGTGTGTGTTTTCTGCCATGGTTAAGCTTCTTTTGATGTTAGATGCAATAAAAACAAAAGACAACAACAACAGAAAAACGCTACTGAGGATACTAGACATGAATGTTTAAGAAGCACGCTGTTCCCTAGTCTCTGGAATGACCCACTGCCAAAGATTCACCCATCCTCTCTCTCTCTCGCATACACACACGCATGCATGGCAAGGCATATGACTGTCAGCAATGACAGATGTCCTAACAGTCTGCTAGTCTGGAGGCATGGTTGTGGTTGTTGTCCTGCAGGGCTTTGACACACGATGTATCAGCATACATTACACACATGTCACACTAATACTGCTCTATCTGCTCCCTGTCTTTTGTTTGCAACCATCAAAAAAAAAAAAAAAGATCCACATTCATTTTCACTTTTCCTGGGATTTCAGTCAGAGAGGAGGGTGGTGATATTTTTTGATTCCACCTGTTCCGGCCCTTTTCATTTCACTGCCTATTACATGTTGATAAAGATTCTTATTTTTTCCCAGGCTTCACTTTTGCTCAGAGTCAAGTGTGATTGGATGTCTGAATGCCTTATGCCATGCTATTACACACTTTCACTCCTAAGATCTCTCCAGTGCAACACAACTGAATGTAAGGCTGAAAAACAACAGTAATCATTTAGTTACTTGAGGAAAACACCTCACAGACACGCTACAGACATGATAAATTGATTGTGCTCATCTCCAACCTCAGTCCTCTTACTTTCTAACTTAGCAAAGAGAACGGTAGTGTATATTTGCAATGACATCTTCTAGGTACAGGTAACAAGGTGTGGTGTATTGTTATCTGCTCAGTTTATCATAGCACCAATGAAATGGCTCAACAAAACCCTGCAACAGAAGAGTGGAATGGTTGCTCTACTTATACGTGTTTAAATTTGCTAACTTACTGTCTGGAAAGCCTGGAAAAGCCTGCCATTGATGGATTATTTAATTAGTATTTATTCTCATTTCTTTACCATTATCCAGTAGGCTACATGTTTTGTCATTAATGTATACATTTTGTTGTAGATATGAAGGTCTCAAAATCAGGTTGTGAAAATAATTAAATTAGTTTTCTTTATTTGTTTTATTATTTTTTATTTAATTTTAATATTTATTTTATTTTTAATATACCTGCAGCATTTTGGATCTGTATTTTATGACTTTGTTGTGTCTTTTAAGCTCATGTGGGTTGGACCCAGTTTTATGCATGACAGCAATAAAGACATTACCCCAACCCATCATTTATTACAACACCATTTGCTTTTACATGTTCATCCGGATTTTATTTTGTAACCTGGTCCGGTCTAAAAGGTGTCACAGTTATGTGCTGAAATTGTGTAGACTCAAGGTACAGTTCAGCTGTTGACCATTAGGCAGCGCTAGAACACCACAGGAGAGATGAAGGCCAAGAAAGGAGGCAACAACGTGGAGACGTGAGTTCAGGATTGATTTGATCAACAGCATGAGTCTGTCTTAAGCCTGTTAATGTAAGACCCAATATGGTTCAAATTTGAAAAAGGCCTTTTTCAAAGTAGGGAAATCACAGGTGTAAATAATAAAATGAATGATGGCTGAATTTCAATTAGCTGCTTGAGTTTTAGGGTCCTGCTGTGGTGCATGCTGGTTTACTGTTAGGGTGTATTGTTAATGAAACGTTTCATCTTTGCATTTCCTCCTCTAACAAGTCAACATGTCTGCTGTGAAAAAGGCCTAGTACTAAACATTACTATACTATACAACAGAAGGTAAACACCATAAATGGTAGCATATTTCATTCAATAAAACCACCAGTCACCCAGTTACAATGATATACACATGAATTCTGGAGTTACTGTTGGATGTTAAAAGAGTAAGCAAAGATAGAAATCTTAGCTTTGCATTACCAATCAAAATTGTAGTGTGGGATCAATAAAGCCTGGTAAAAGAATTGTATTCATGTCAACCAAACTCCATTATGCTACAATATTAAACAACTGTAGCTTCCACATCCAATTCTCTAACAAATGGAAGCAGTAGTGGTTGATCATGTTTGAGTGAATTGCTGTAGCTTGTGTCGGGGGTGGTGGTTGGGTGTGTGGGGATTGACAGAGAGTGATGGGGACAGTCAGTACGGCAGCTGAGGAGAAAAGGTCTTGAATGTTCCTGGGACTGAACGGGATCAGGACAGAGGAGGAAGAGGTTTTAGCAGAGAAGCAGGGGAGGAGGAGGGTTATAGCTTCAGAGAAGAGAGACTGGAGAGATGGGGCTTAGAAGTTAGCAGAGTTTGTATTCGTGACTGTGGGGCTCAGTCAGCAGGAGTTATAGTCCCTCTGAGACCTTAGACTGTTTAATGCACTTCTGTATAAATGGCTGTACTCATTGCATGCATTCCTGGGTTGAAGATGTACACTTTCAGTGTGCGTTCTGGATGTCTAGAAACCTTACCTCCATGCAGAAGTATCTGCACTGCATGGACACGATTCATAAATTCAATTAGATTTAATCATAAACGCACAATATTGCATACCGAAGGCTGAATAGGAGAATGATGAAATAGAAAATATGCTCTGATGCTTAATGTGGTGATAACAGAGCGCCGCATTGTAATACAATCAATAGCCTGTGTGAATAATGCATCAGCTGCCCCATCACATTATGCACTGCTGATGTCAAAATTGTTATTCATTCTTGTCCATTTGTCAATTTACAGAAACTCCAGCACGGGCAATGAATCGATTTCATTTTCCAGCTCATTTTGATCAAGCTGCTTATTATTCTGATGCAGGGTCAGCAGGGACGTCTTTCACAGAGATTACATGTATATCACGCAAGTAATAAACAAAAGTGTGATTAAGTTACTTTCTCTGTTGTTTGCGTATGTGTAGCTCTGTGTGTGTGGGTGGATGCGTACAGTATATATGTTAATGCTTATTTGTTGCTGCCCTCTAGTGAGATGCAGCAACCATCAAACAGCCAATTTAGAAAGCTGCTTTGCCTCATACACGTCACTCTGGTACGTCTTCACACACAGTGGTTGAGATACATGAGTTTGATTCTTCCATATCAGACACTGATATCACTGAAGTTCCTCCCAGCACCAGCAGCTGAGATTAAAATGTGATTAAAACATTTCATTTTAAAAAACAAAGCAATATAATAGGATCTGCCTATATCTATGTAATTATGTAGCCTAGTAACTGTCAGAAAAATGTGTTTTTGGGTATCTTTCTTGTACCCAAAATGTTGAGTTCATGTCATATTGGACTTGCTGTCGAAACAGACTGCTGAGTGTAAACAGCATTTCAATTAGCCTCCTGGTGACAAGAAGTAGGATCATAGCCATTTCCTTCAACATGGCTTCATGAAGTGTTTCAAGACATGCAGCAAATATATCTGGTAAAGTTAGGAGGAAAAGGTGTTCAATGTCAAAACAAGTTATGTTTATGATATTACAATCGACTGTACTTTGAAAACCCATGCAGAAGTTTGTTTCTGATTTTAAGAGATGATTTTGGATCAAGATGTTCTGATGAGTAAAACCCTGATGCAATGAAAAGCAGTCTTCTGTTTCCTGTGACCGAACCTGAATGTGGTAAAGCAACACCAAGCAGACTGTGCAATATTATATTGGTAAAATTATGATTGTAAACAAAACAGGGCCGTCAGTTATTTTCAATTTGCAGCGAGAAAAGCAGCATATCCTCAACTAACAGCAAATGTTTGATACTTTTGTTTGCTAAATGACTCAAACTAAAAAACAAAACCTCTAATTTACCATTTGGATCATGCATTCTTTTTGACATTTTACAATGTATTATCAATGGTTCAGCTTTATCCCAGCAGCATAAAATATTTACTGCATGTGTGTGTATTTGGGAGACACCATCTGTCAAATACCATACCAGAATATATTGGGATCCTGCACCCATGTCACTTCCTCCATTTACATCATCGTCTTTACCGCTATTTTTCCTTTTTCCCCTATTTTTTGCTTACATTGATTCGGAGTGACAAACCTGCGCAAGCATCACTGTAAATGCATCCTGTCTGATTGTGTATTTTTGTGTTATGCAGTGAACATGACCTCCTTTTAAATTACTGGAATATTAAAGAGTAAACAGAACCTACAGAGCACGGATGGAGACGCCAGCAGGCAGCTGCTCCTCTCTCTGTTTTATCATCCGATTAAAAAAAAAGATATATAAATAAGCAGAAAACCCTGACAGAAGTCGCTCAAACTGAAAGAAAACACACATGCTCATACACACAAAGGAGGCTTTTGAACTTTTCTCTAGGTATAGCCTTTTTTCACAACATTAGAGGGGAACTCTGACTTTTTATCATTTTAATACTGTGAACTCATATGGATAATTCACACTCGCTGGCTTTGATCTGTACTGCCTCTCTTTAGTCTCTGCTTGCTCTTTTGCCTCCTTCTGTGTGTATGTTTATATGTGGTGTGTGTATACCTGTGATTCTGTGTGTGTATGTATGCAGCACAGCTTGAAAACCAGGGTAAATAGTAGAACACGTAGCAACTGTCTTTATTGAACACCAGCATTTTAGAAGGTAGGGATTTAACATATATATAGTTGAAAGCCTACAAGAAAAGTAATTTAAATATTTATATATATCTTTACAAATGTTCATGAGCGAGTCAGAGAGCTTGTGTCGGCTAAACTTGCGATCTCGGGAGTGTACAAAGATAGACATGCACAGGGAAGAGGAACAACGGCAACCGCAAAGTCACCTTTTACAAAATGGCTGAGTTGGACCCTTCTCTCGCTCTCTTCCACTTAAACACATCTTTATCTGTCCCACACGCTAAGACACACACACACACAAACATACACACACACACACACACACACTCACGCCACACTACCCCAGGCAATGGTGTCAGTCTCATATCCAGAAACAGTCTCCTTTTCTCTGTCGCCCCACCTAGTAAACACACTGGTTGCTATGGCACTGATTATACGGCGTAAAAATAAAAATAAGTCTGCTTTGTGGGGTTCAAGTGCTCTCACAGGTACAGAGGGGGTTTGCGGACTGTATGTACTGTATAAGAGTTCGGGTCAGGGTCCTTTTTTGCAATTCAGTCTTTTTGGATGTAAAATTATTTCTTTTCAGCTGACTGAAACTAGAACTTTAGTTATGAATTTATTAATAATTGAATACAAAGACATTGAATGAACCTTCAGAGGACAAAAAAGATGTTTTAGTTTTTGTATTGTTGCAGAAAATCCACATCTGAATTAGTTGGATTGAGATCAAATTGCCCAAAACCCTCATCGTGTGTTATGTTGTGTTGGCAGTTACCACCCCTGTCCTGGAAAACTGTGATTCCAGCATGTCCATGTTTACTTCCTGTTTTCAGAATTAATAAATTAACAAATAAAGAGTCTTAGATGAGCCTCAGCCTTCTCCATGGCGAGGCTCCTCCTTGTAATAACAGGTGTTCACACACGCATACACACACCCACACTCACACTCACCCACCCCTAAACAGGATGTGTTATTTCCACACACACATCAGGATGACTTGTTCGGGACAGTTCAGGTTAGTGTTACATTTCAACATAAGATAAATAAATGACAAGAAATATGAATTGTCCCAAAGAAGATACAGTAATGCATGGGAATTAACAAATCCTTTCTGAGAGAACACACACACATATCCACACACACACTCCCAAATGCAGCGCTCCAAGGCACGGGGACCGGGTGGGTGGGGGCTACTCAGTCTTTTCTGTTTTCCCGTCTTTGCTCTGGGGCTCGGCTGTTTTCCGGAGCTGCGTCTTTTCTGAGGTGTTGTTGATCTGTTGGTCGGTGGGTCCGCTTGTTTTCCCGCTCGAGTTTTTGTCCAAGTAGTTGAGCATCTCACTCAGGACTGTCTGGAAGGTGCTGAGAGCTGCGCAGACCGCCGGTGTGCCGAACCCATGAGTGATCAGACTATCAGGGAGGAGACATGAAATGAAGATCAGAACAATGACAAATCTTTGTTTCATTCAGGGGCAAAAAAAGTGGTACCTTTAGGGTTTGTAAGGCGTACTGGTTTACTTAAGAAGTGCAGATGCCTCTTTCTTTCCTCAGTTTTTACACCTGCAGAGAAACTTTCCTCTCCATGCATTATGGAGCTTCTAATCCTCCTAAAAGAGTTTCTTTAGTTGGGCTAAACCCTGTCAGATCAGAGTTTTAATGTCCTGTGATGTTCTAAATGCTGTTTCCAGCCTATTTCTACAATAATTTATGGAGAACACTAACTACTACAGCTGTATTCAGCAAATAAGCCTGAATATGTCAGATTTAACATATTACATAGAGATTACAGCTGAATCGATTAGTCGATTGTTAGACTGACCAAATAACCAGCAGCTATTTTGATAAACGATTAATTATTGAAAAATGTTCCCTTGTTCTACATTCTCAGTTGTGAGGCTTTGCTACTTTTCTTTGTTTAATGTGAAAGTAAACTGAATGTTTTTAGGTATAGGACTGTTGATTAAGGAAAACAAATACATTTGAAGGTTTCCCCTTGGGCTTTTAGAAATTGTGATGGGCATTTTTCACAGTTTCTGACATATTATTGAAAATAATCTTCACTGAAAATAATCCTTAGCTGCAGCCCTAAATCAGATATTATCAGCCAACCAGCTAAACCAGTTTGTCCACCCTATAAGATCATCAGGCAGAGCAAAATATCTGGTCACCTCTCAGCACAACCTTTAAGCTGCCAGAAGGAAGCTGCTGTTCATTCTGTCTGTCATAACTGTGTTCATACAACTGAGCTCACATCATATTTCTCTGCCCAGCACTCTACTGTACATCTCCCTTTGGAGGTTTGATAAAAACTTTGTATATTCTGCAAAGGATGACGCCACAGATGTGACATTTCTGCTAACAAGCCACTGTTCCCTCCTCCTCTGTCATTTGTGCCAAATAACAAACTGCACAGCTGCATCTTTCGAAAATGGCAAAGCGGTCGGAGCCAAAACGGAGAGCAGCCGGGCTCTGCAAGAAAACTGACTACACTCAGTACTTTTAATTATTTAGAGTCATTTCAGATTGGACATGTGAGTTTTTTAAAAAGTCCATTTATTCTGTATAAGTGTGTGTTACCTGAAGTGTGTGAGGTGTCTCTGGATGTCCAGGTCCAAGATTGGGGTCGGTCTGGAGGAGCCCAGAGGAGAACGATCTTGGCTCAATAAGTCCTGGAACTCCTTACAGATTTGCCTGATAGACAGAAGGAGGGAGGGAATGAGGGTTTACCATCTGTCTCCAACACAACCGTCGCAATTTGTTTCTTTTTCTTTATTTCTTTTTTTTTGCACCCATCCTCATCTATTTGGATCAACCCACATGTAAATTCCACCTAGGAAGCAATTAAAGGAAATACTACATGCATGAGCAAGATAGTTTCAATGTCAATCCAAAAAACAAGGAAAAAACTCAACAATCAAAAATTCTGCAAATGTAGTTTCAATGTTGGCTTTCAACATTGATCTAAGCTGTCTTTTTTGGATTTTATCCAGTGTTGAAATCATTGTTTGAATGACTTTATGGGAAAAGGAAAATCAACTTAGCTGGAAAAGAGTGGGAGCTGTTTCCCTTCAGCACATTCAGTACTTAATGTGCAATAGTGCTTGTAAGAATTCACTGCACACATATAAACAGCCTGATGACAAAAGCCTGATAGTCTAAAGTGTGTGAGCACAATATCATAGAATTCAAATCAAGTAGATGCTCTATGCATGAAAAGTGTGTGTGGTTTGGAGTTGGAGTTTGTCATACCTCATGACAACACTTTCCACCTACTGTGCATGAAGTGTAGACTTTTATGTTCTTCTTGTTAATCAAACCTTCCTGAAAACTTTTCGCGGTTGTCTGACTCTCACATACTCAATACAACCACCAGCATTTTTTTGTTGAACCAAGCACTTTTAAATCAAAGAATTGGTGATACATTTTTCTTGGCCCTATTCCAACTCTGGAACTGATTGTGATTTTCACCCACACATGAAGACCTGTAGACAAACACTAACTTTAATCTGGACCTTTTGACATGATGGGTCAAGAAATGAAAACCAGATTCAGCAGAATTTCAGAATGTTACAAGAACAATTTAAGCTCTAAACCGTTTCAATGTGTTATGTGTATGAATGTGTGTGTGTTTGTATTCTCACTTTGTAGCCAGAACCATTTTCTTGCGTGCGCTGGTTTCTTTCGGCTCACTGTGCTGCCTCGCCAAATGTTCCCCCACTGCCTTACTAGGAAACTCTGTCTCACAGGTGTAGCCAAAGTCCCTCGCCAGGTGGAGCGCCTCACCTGAGCACAAAACCAGGAAAAAGACTGATGAAACAAGTGCTAAAAGGATTCAAAATAAAAACTGTAATAGGAAATTAATATATCCAAAGACATACCTAAAACATTTTGGATGTTTTTGCAAAGTCCCTTACCTTCCACCAGGGAGGTGAGCAGCGTGACGTTGGCAGCTTTCCTCCGTCCTGCAGGCAGGTTGAGGCCTAGACGGTCTAATTTCTCACGAAGACACCGGCCTCCATTCTTAGACTTTGCTCTGTGGTAAAGTAAAATAACTTTTTTTAACACCACATGTTCCTCACCATCACACTATTACATTTTATAAGACACAGAAAGACTGAATGCCTCTATCACATTATCATTATTGATCACCCGATAATTTTTCATTGAGCCAAAATACAAATAAAATCATCTGGCCTCCTTATTCTACAAACAGATGTTTTATTTAATTAAGTCTTCCAAATAAGGATGGAAGAATATAGATATGCTTTGATTTGACAGGCATAAATTAAGCATAAAATCAAAGAGTATAAAATTAAAACATGTCAACTCATTATATATTAACTATGCTTTCTTTAGACATGGATATGGTTACATGTCCCCTTGAGTTTCCTCTTTCATTGTTTGAGCATTTGTCTCTTACCATACCCAAAGTTCTATTTTGAGGAGGAAAAACGGTCCCTGTCATTTCTTTATCTTTTATGTGAAATTTTAAAAACACACATGCTTACTTTCTCTCCGATCAAACTTATAAATATAAATAAAAAGACCCTTTTGGGACATTTTGATTAAAATGATTGAGGTTTTTCTATCCTTCTGTAACAAACCAGTGTCCAGGCAGAGGTACGTTCACAGTTTCACTGAAAACAAACTGCTGTACATGGAAGTGATTGTGGTTCTGATACTATGGCAAATCACACTATATCAACAAAACACAGTTCAGGTTTTCACCTGTTAGAATCATTTCTGTGTTGTAGATGTAATTTATTCTCCTCCAGATAAGGATCAACACCTCTATTTGCACGCTTTTTTTGTTTTGCTCTGTTGACGCCTCATCTTGTAGGACCAGCCATATTCTCTCTGCTCTCTCTCCTCTTCCCCCTTCCCTTTCTCTCTGCCTCATCAATAATACAGCGCTGGCAACTCTTGCTTTCCTCTGGTTCCTCTGATCCTGGCATGCTTTGGCCTGGTCTCGCCACCCTCTGGCTCCCTGGGCATGGCGGCGCGTGCAGCCCCCAACCCCTTTTCGCCTACAATAGTCTTTGTGGACGCTACCGTATATCCTCTGTTTCATCTGAGGGCTACACAGACTCAGGCAACGTTCACCAACCAGATTTACGCTTTAGAGACAACCTTTTCACTTTCAAAATCCCTCTCTTTCACACTTGCCTCTTTACTTCAATATTATTTTGTTACAAGACAGACAGAGGGTGGACAAAATAACTTAAAGATTTTAGTAATCTAATACAACTCAAAAGAACAACCCTTCAGCTCGCTCTCTCAATCCTACTATGATCATTGATCATTTATCATGACTTTGTCCACAAGTTGTTGATTTATGAGGCTATATTTCGTCGTTGTCGTTATTGTACACTGCCAGGTGTTTCCGTTATATCTTCGCACCCCTTCGCTATTACACTTACACCCTTTATTCTTATATAATATTTCTGCTGCAAGATGGACCCAATGTTTTTAAAGTTTTGTGTCTCTCATTCTCCCGGGATGATATGAACAAGTCAAGTTCTCTGCAACAGCAAGATGAAATGGTTCTACATGGAGTCATAATGCTGCAATAAGATGAGATGACTTTTAGACATTTAGCATGTAAAAAAAAAAACCCACACAACTCTTTTATTTGATTTGTCTTTATATCAACAAATCAGTATACTCTCTTGAGTCATTGTAGTTGCATTTAGATCCATTTAAGAAGCTGCCCCAGGCGTGCAGTCACATTTCTGCGATGTGTGCGTTTGTACTGACCTGCGCAGTATGCCGCCCAGTAAGGAGGCGTTGAGGCACTCTGGTGGGGACAGTCTTCTTTTCACCTCTGCGATGGTGACTTTGTACTTGGAGGTTGAGCTGAGAAGTGACAGTCGGCCCGGTACCGAGCAGAACAAATCTGTAGGGTTCACCACACATGTCCCCCCTGCACACAAACACAACACACTTGTCAGAACAAGGTTCAGCACGGACAAACAGAGCTGTTGTGCACTCACCATCAATTGAGACACTGATTTAGATCTCAAGTCCACAAAATACACAGTGAGTACATTAGCACAGCTCGATGTCAGCCTGCAGTAAGACAACTTCAGGGGCCAGGAATGGGCTGTTTTACGTCATTCAACTGGAAAAAAAGTGACCATCAAATTACTGCGAATGGGTAGGCCTGCATAATCCAACTGTAAACATGCTGTAAAATCTGTAAATATTTGTGTTACAACGTTCTATAACTAACTACCTTTCTTTTGTAACACACCATCCACTTTTCTGTTGACCTCTAAACTGAACACTAATTAATGATATTTTGATCTGTCTGTCCTATAAAAACCATGTATCTCCAAAATGTCACCTTTACCTGAACTAATAAAAACAGCTTTTCTTTTTCAGATATCCTCATGGAAATGTAACTAACAAGTTTCCGGTCAATTTAGTTTGCTTTGGAGAAAGCTTACATGGAGATGTGTTAATGAACTGGCTGTGTTTTTTTTAAACCTACAAACTCCACCCATGTTTCAACTGATGCAGGAGCAAATACGGGGAAACTATTTCTCTAATGATGCTCTGTTTTTTCAGCAGATAAACCAACATGAAACTGAAATAATGCAGCACAACAGGGGAACCATTGAACAAAGAACCGTGGAGCAGTCCAGCAAGTTTCCAACCTAGTGCTACTCTTGGTTAGCAAATGCTTTCTATAAATTAATGGTGAAATTATCTATGTGTAGCAGCATTTCTACTTCTGTGTACTACTGCAGGATCTAGTGATCAAAGTGGTCAAAACATCATTTACCACAGCCTCCGTAGGAATGCTAACCCAACTCTTGGCACATTTTACTCTGTATTGCTAATTGTCTAAGAGTGCACAGCTTATAATGCATCAAACATTTGTGTTGTTTTGGGAGAGTTCCTATGTAGACATAAGCTTGAATATTTCAAGGAAATTGTGCAGGCAGATTTATAATAGTGTTTTTATTTAGTTCCATTATGCCAATGACAATATACAGCCATGAACAGCAGTTATATTCAGAAGAGTTTTGGTTAAACATGTATTTTCACACTTTTTTAGATTCTGATCAGTAGGGTTTCAACACAAGTGGCTTTTCTCAAGTTCTGTAATGATAATAATGCTAATAACAACAAAAATGGCCTTTAGTTTGAGAGATACCTCATTTTGCAATGAATGTTGCAAGTTATTACAAGAGCTGCAAGAGCATTTTTCTTTACTTTTGGTGTAGGTGTACTGAGTGTATCCAATAAAAATCCATTTAGATCTTTAAAAGCCTAGAATCAGGAAATACATGTACATTTTGGTCCAAAAATGATCTAATGCATTAAACTATAAATGTATCCACAACCCATCCATCATTGATATCCAGTATTGAATTCATATTGTTCACAAAACAGTTTGAAACATGTTTTGTGGAAAACACTGAACCTTCATCAAATCCCACGTCAGAGACAAGTGTGTAGATATTAGCACCATTTTGCACCTTTGTTTTCAGAGGGTGGCTTTAGCTGTGTACAAACTTTGCATGAGGTCTCCCTGGTTCTTACTTGTAAGAATTACACATTTCAGGAAATTATACAAGTTATAAAAAACAACTACATGTCTGTGAGCAGAGCATACAGGAAGTCTCTTATCTTTTCAGGTGCAATAATGTAATGTGTCAGTGGAGCCAGTGTGCAGTCGTATCTACTGTCAACGGAAATGTCCTTACAAGAAAAAATGCTGATCACTAAATCTTTGCCACTTGTGTTATAACAAAATAACTTGATAATTTTTTTTTGTTGCTGTCCTAGGAAAACCTTGAATCTCCAAAATGAAGAGAAACAGCACTGTTTTCAGCTTTGTGACACATTTTTTCACATAATCCAATTGTTTTTAAAAGGCTTAGTTATCTTAAGAAGTATTTGTCTTAACCCATCAAAGAACAATTATTCATTTTAGTTTAGCTTTTCTGAACAATTAAAAATCACCAGATATGTGTTTTTCACTGGACAACAAAGTCTTGCTGGTTCATAGCCCTTATTATCCTTGTACACTCTTCACAGTATAGCTGTAAACATAATATATGATTAAATGTAATTTTAATCAAAACTTAAAGCAGAAGAGTCCATAGAAATACATAGGATCAAGCATCTACCATCACCATTGGCAAGATCAATGTGTTTCGCTCAGCACTTCATCAGACTTCTTTCCACTAGTTAAATATTACATTTACATCTTTTTTTTTTCTTACTAGGCTATATACATATATTTATATTTCTGTTTCAGCTCAATATTTGTCTGTATGTAAGAAAAGGCTGCTGTAATCCCAGGAGGGGAAAACAAAACCTCCCTTTAATCACCTTCCACCAACCACCAAGTTGATTTCATTGTGGACTTGAGGCTCCTGAATGTGTGAATAAATGATTGTGGTTGTGATAGTGAAGGCTCTTTCACATTATTAATTGCATCTGAATCAGTGTTGCTGGGTCCTCCTGGAATATATCGACTGCTCTGAGTAGGCCTGTTATTATTAAACTTTCACTTGAACTAACGTCCCAAGCAGCTGAAACGCAAGGTTTCTGTCTGATGTACTGTAGGCTATATTCTATTATTCATCCCCCTCATTATCAAATCTAACAGCAGGGTGTGTCGCTTTGTTATTAGGCCGTGCTGGATATGATGGAATGAAGAAAAGGGATGCCATTTAGGCCGAATAGAACAACGCTGCGGGCTACGATTGTCTACACATGCCAGTTTTTTTCGGGGCAATGTGGACAATTTCGCCAAGAGCTAAGCCTTATATATGACCAACTGTAACCTATATTTTTGCTCTAAAAATCTATTATTCACAATCAGCAGAAATGTGCTAGTTTCGTATTATGTTTCTGGCCGCAGGAAGGCAGTCAGACCTGTCATCAGAACATGTCATCTGGGTTCAGCACCACGGACAGCGGCTTCCACCTTTCATTTCAGCACCTGGACAGCGACTCGTGCCTGCAGCACAACCGGCCTCATCATAATGGTGTGGTAACAAAAGCCTGTTGTAGGCTACTGCAGCGGGCAGCGCTTTGTACGAGGCTGTATGTGACTTGTATTTCACTCAGGCTGTCAAAAATGGACAGTTGCAGGTCGAGGGAATTGATTGATACTATTGGTTAAACTTGGACTCCTTTGTGTGCGTGTGTGGTGTGCGCGTGTGAAGTCCGGCTCGTCTGTGTCTACCCTATTTGTGACACAAACCGGGCGGACCTGTCTGTCAGACTCACGCGCTCTGACAGGGGCGCGCGTCTCTGAAAGCCGCGGGTTCACATCATATTAATTCCCCTAAAAATGTTTTGATTCAAAGTAGTTTGTATTTTATGTTGCCAAGGGCAATCGAAAAGAGCTATTGCCGGTAGTGCAGTCAGTGGAGCGCGCGGGCCCAGAGGCGATAACGGTATTTAAGCAACGGAGAGTAGCCTCAGGCTGCGGCGCGAGCGGCGGGCGGGATCACACGCGAAATCAAGCGCCTTTTACGAGTTTGCCACGAAAATTAAAGAAAAAAAGACACGGGCCAAATGTCATTCTCCTCATATTTTAACAACAATGTTTATAGCTCCAAAAAAGCCCGCCAATGTCTTGACAGAAAAGAGAGAGGCGCGTACACCGGCTGTAGTGGCGGGGGCGAGCGCCTGACAGATCAGCTTGATCTGAGGCTGCTGCTAGAGCTGAACTGGAAAAGGGATAGCAGGGTGATTAAAAACACAGACGACTCCTCCTAAGTAGGATCCGCGTTTCTTGAGTGATTTTCTTTTGAAAAAGGTTATGTGAATATTCATGCCGCCAAAGCCGCAGTCAGAAAGAACAACATTAATATGATCTCGGCTGAATCCGGGGCCCCGCTCGGCATTAGCATATCAAAGCGTCCGCCCGAGGCGAGAGAAGCTATCGATACTGGAGCGGGAGGTAAAGCAAAGATTATTGGTTGTGATGGTTGCAGCGGCTGAGCTCAGGGCCAAATACGGCGCACCATTAACGGAAAGTGATAGCGAAGGGATTCCCGCGTCAATCCGAGAGAAAAGCCCCAACACCTAGGCAGAGCTGATGAAAAATTAAACCCGAGACACAACCTTCCTCTCTGTATGGAAAACTAGCCTACTACACATAGTCCCGACTAAAAAAACAGAGCAGGCTTTGACGGACCAAAAGCAGATCCACAGCGCGTTAAAACCCACACTCATGAGGAAATTGGCTGGCCTGCTATGTGTTGATGCAGACAGAGTCCACATCCACATCTTCACCCTGAAGAGTCGACCTGAACCGGCTTCACGACCCAGCCTTTAAAAGCTATAGGGTTAATTATACTGTATGTGATTAAACATGGCCTTCAGGTACATGCAAGAAACAACAATTAGGCTACAGCACTCATAATTATTTATGTGATGTACTTTACATTAGAGCCTACAAATAAATAAAGGCTACTAGGCTACATAAAAGAAAAATATAATGAAATAGCTTAGAATTTACCCAGAAGCAATGCATGGTAACACTGAGAACAGCTAGATTCATTTTGTAATAGGCCTAGGCCTAAATGAACGTTATTTTATATTTTCTGTTAGCATACCATCCGATTGAATTGAATCTATTCATTCACAATAGACAGAAACCTATAATTTAATTTCTAGACGATTGGTTTGTTATATTAAGCATCACAGCCTTTTAAATGTTGTGACATTATACATTATTTTAATAATAGTAAAAGTTTGGTCATAAATAATTGGGCTATTCCTTGTAATAGTCTGCGTGTTTCCTACTTGATTTTTATTACAAAAGAGAGATAAGATCATCAACAGTAGTGTTTGGGGATATGATGAATTTATGATCTCAAAATAAACATAGTCTACATATTATATTAAAATAGCGTAGGCTGAGCCTACCTTTGTTTTACCTTTGTCAGTCTGTTGAAATGTAGCCTACAGGTTTGACTTCAAAAAGGAAATGTCTATATGTAGACTATTGTGTGAAAGGCTATATTTAATATGTCAAATGCACATTTAAACATATAGCCTACTATCAAATCGGTGGCTATAAATGAATGACTGCTGTTGTGACATTTTAATTTTCTTAGGAGAAAAAGTCAAAGACAGTGTTTAGGCTGGAAAAAGCAGACGTAGATGTTGAGTGACAGTCCATTTCATTCTGGAAATGGGAAGCACCGTCTCCGCGCGTGTACACTGTGTTAGCGTTTAAATAGGCGAGAAAATGGGGCCGTTCCTGCTGTAACGTGTTGACAGCAGACAAGAGAGCAGTGTTCCGCCTGTTTGTCTGTCTCCTCGCTCTCTTGTCGTGTGGAGCCGTGAGTGTTCACGGCCTCCGGTGCAACAACAGAGAATTAACAGGGCCTTACCTCTCCGGATGACGCCCCCTTGGCCATTCAGCACGAGCCCACACTGCGCTTCCACGGAGCCCTGCGGAGACACGCACTCATTAGGATGAGCAGGGAGGTGAAATGACTTCACCCAGATTTTTTATACCGCTAGAGCACAGTTTAACCAGCTATCAGGCTCCAGAAACAGCATAAATGAATGGCGTTTCTTTCGTTTTTCTAAAGCTGTGATGCTTTATGGATATCCAAATGATTTGTTTCTTCAAGTTCTTATTTAGCCTACCATTGCACACCAAACATTCATCTTTGAGAAAAATCTTACTGATCAATGAAACTGAGACCGTAAAATCATGGTAATATCAGAATAAAGAAAAGTCTGTGATTAATAGACTATTTAATGATTATGGCAGCACTGTTGCTGATCTGCAGTGCCCCTGCTCACTAAATGTTCTGTCCAATAGGTCAGTGGTCTTATACCTTGTGTCCACAAATTCACAAGCCTTATGGTAATGAAGTCGTTATTTCACAAGCAAACAATATTAGATGTTAAAAACATTTCTATGTAGCAGAATACGTTATTTGATTCTTCCTGTGCAATTAGTCATCTTATGACCCCTCAGATGTGCGACCTTTAGGTTTCCTTACTGCACCTTGAAGTTTGGCAATTAGAGCGTCCACATGGCCTATTACCTTTTAAGCTATAGCTTCTAAAACACACCCTCCTTTGAAAACAATTTTCTAGTGGTGGAAGCCTTTTTGTTAGAAAGTCTTGGCCTACGTTACTTAGCAGGCTTTGAGTAAAATTGAGGGCAGAGTAAAATGCAGCTCACGGCTCACACAGAAACGAGCTTAATTTGAAAGGCTTCAGGCTGTAAGCGAGGACAGCACAACTCTTCCAGGCTGAAACATGAGTGTCCACAGTTTGCTGCAGCCACCAACCTGTTGGGGATAACTCTGGAGCGCAAGCAGCCCACAGTAGCCTATATAGGCTAAGGCCTATATATTTGTGGATAGCCTACCTGTTACTGCGGCCATTTTGGTCCAGATCACACTCGCGTGCTATCAACAATGTCATCAAGAAAGGAGAACACGCGCTTTTTTATTTAGAAAACGCTTAATCCCCCGTGCGAGCCTCGAGGCATGGCCCACGCAGAACCCCCTGATTAAAATAAACCTGAAAAAAGGAGCTTGTTGTAGTTCTTTCTTAACCAGCTCCTGCTCTGTTCCTTTTCTTCTATTCCGAAGCTAAAGTGATTATAAAATCAATATACAAAACGCAGAGGTCTTGCATGAATTAGCTTAGTGACGGGAGAAAGGTGTGGCAGCTGCTTTTGTTCAGCATGAAAATCTCTTTAACGCGCTCAAAGATGCGACCGGGCTGCACGAGACCATATGCGCATCTGTTCAGTTCATACATCCGCCTCTTGCAAGCTCAGGTTCACGAGCCGTTTCTTTCTTTCCCTCAATAAAGGGTCAAACCTGTGCTCTTTTCATGTGCCAAAAGCTTAAGATAAATATAGTATTTGCCATAACAATGATCAACTTTGAGCCTCTAGGTTTGAAAAATAAAATAAAATAAAATAAAGGCAACATGACTTACTTACGCTATTAATTTTAGATTATTAGAATTTAATAACACATGTTACGTAGAATAAATTGCATATTGTTGTCATTATCACCCAATTAAAATGATTAAATTTCACACAGAACTTGCGTTTAAAAAGGTCCATGATGACAGAGATCAATAAAACAATAATTAAAAATCATGCTGGCACAATTATAATTTCCTAAACTCGCTGTAGTATTTAGGGACAATTACGTTATTTGTAAATTGAATACATCATCATCTTCAAGGTTATACTGCCACACCCCTTAAATAGCCTATAGTAAAAGAAAATGAATTCGCCTAAAAGAAAACTGACTTAAAAATTAATAAATCAGATTACGCTATATTAATTTTTTTTAGCTTATCAAAATAGTAGTTATTGTTGTTGCCAGTGTAAACATTAGGACACATTAGGAGCGTGTGTAGCGTAATTACAGCTAATAATGTCGATAAAAACGACACTGTCTCGAGCTGAACTTGAGTGGAGCTGGTAAATAGTTAACTTGACTGAAATTATGTGTCGCTGTCTTAAATTGTGTTTAACTAGAGGCGTGTTTTAACCAGCTCAGATGTCGCTGCATAAGCAACAACGTTGATTGACGTTAAGTCGGTAATTGGATAAACTACGGTGCTTTATGGCGCTTGAGCTGGGCATTGTGCCTTGAACCCCGATCCGTTAATCCGCCCTTTACCGGAGAATAGAGCAACCAGCGGCTTTTCTTTGCCTCAACAGACAGCCGGACACACTCTCTGTCTCTCTCTCTCTCTCTCTCACACACACACACACACACACACACACGCTCAAGAACCGTGCGAATCCGTTTTCATCTTGACCATTTCTTTACATCGAAAAGAATTATGTAAAATATGGGTCACGTGTGTTTCTGGAAAAATAAAGGGCGGATTTCACAATGGGATTGTATAGACTGCCAGTCAATTAACCTTTAGAAACAGGCATGCCTTTCAGAGGAACTGCACCGTGTGGACTTGACATTTACTTAGCCTGTTGTAAAGTCACGTTTGGTTTGGCAACAAAATTATCTCAAGAATGAAATCCAATATTATTTACTCCAAAGTAGGACAGAGGCAGTGGCTGGGGATGACCAACAGGCCAAATGTAAGACAGACTTGTCAGTGTCGACAACAGACAGATGAAGCAGACAGGCAGACAGACAGACAGACATCTGGCGCTGTCTTTCTGTTCAATATTTTGGAATTGCTGTGTTGCTGGTACAATAGAGGGAGGGAGGGGGGTCAGTAGTAGGCCAGTGGGGCAGGGATACTCGGTCTTGTGGCAGCGCTAAGGGTATGTTGTCCTATCTTATCCTATATTATGGAGGAGTGTTAATAAACCAGAGATGAGAAGCCGAGGGAAATGAAAGAGAGGGTAGAAAAGAAAGGTGCAGTTGGATCTTCGGCCTTGGGGTGTTGTGAGACTGTGAATTAGCGGGGGAAGAATGATGGAGGCCGCCGGTACCTGCAGGTCGTCTGACGCAGACGAAGGGAGACCCAGACCGGCGCCCGGCAGCAGCCTCTGGTCCGGGTGGTGCATACCGACGCCGTAGGCCTGGGAGCCGTGTGACGTCATCAGCGACAGGTCATGGCGCCGGTAAGCGTCGAGGCAGCCAAGCTCGCGCCTCTGCTGCTCGTCCAGGCAGGAGGACTTGAGGGCCGAGCGCGCGTTGTGCAGATTGATGAAGTCGGCGGGCTCTCCGTGGTGGATCTGCTGGTAGTACTGGCCCGAGTGCAGCGAGTTCAGCCCGTAGGCCTCCGGGGCCACGGCCGGGTGGGAGTGCTGGAACTCGTAGTGGAAGGACTGGTGGTGGAGGGGCGTGTACTGGTGGTTGGCCGAGAAATAGGGCGAGGCGAACTCCGTCCCCGCCGGCGCTGGGTAGGTGAGCGGGGAGGAGGAGGAGTAGGCGACCGAGGAGTTGGCCACGGACTCCAGGCACCCGAGCTGCATGAGACGGTAGCTGTTTGATCCGTCGTGACGTATCTACAAGATAATAAAGAGACGGGGAAATATATGAGCCGTGTCATTTAGCATCAGCCGGTGTCTCCTCTTCTCTGCCTCCCAAACACACTCAAAAACACAACTCACACACTCAAAGCGTTTTTTTCCCACTTTAAACCACCTGAAGGAGATGTCATTTCCACACGCCCGGGAGGGGAACGAACGCACGGCAACAGGAGCCATCGGTATTTTTCCCCTCCCTTTGGCATGCCTGTCACTCTCCTCGCAGCGTTTAAAAGGCGTGCTGTTATATATTATTATTATTACCGAGCTGCTGGCAAATGTACTGTCCCAGCTCTCTCGCTCATTCCGGATGGGAGGTAAGCAGAGTGAGACACAGCGGAGTGTTCCGCCCTAAAATGTTCTAATCACACTGTTACCGGCTCACACACGAGCCTCATTTGCTTCCACACACTAATAAAAAGCCCCGTTTTTACCGGCAGCTGCAGTGAGATGCACGACTCATTCCTTCCCTCCATGCACATGTATATATATATTTTATCCACGCGATAGGCTACAGTATTCCACTTAGACTTCTTGAGAGCTGATGCTGTCTCGAAATGCCTCCATAACTCACTTTAAACCAAACAACATTTCTTCCTCTGCACATTCTTCTATAATTTCATAAATTAAAAGGATGTTAAGTAAATAAATTAGCCTACCTCTGCGTCGTGGACAAGTCCGGGGAAGGTCGCTGACATTGTGCTTTCTCCAAAGTAACCCGTGTTTTTTTTTCTCCGCTCTCTGGCCCGATCGAATAATAATAAAAATGCGTTAAAATCCTGAAAAAGCGAGAGAAATGGAAAAGTCCCCCCTCGCGCGCTCTCGGTAACGGCAGAAAGCTGGCGGAACGCGAGCGTCTCCCCTCTGCACGGACGGGGCTGGCTCACGGATTTTGTACTTGCAGGGTATTTCTCGGCTGATGTCGTAGGTCCCTTGGTAATATAGAAGTTTTGAAAATTAAGCATCAGCACTGAGGAATGGGAGGACAATAGACGGAGCGGAGCATCCCAGGAGACAAGGAATAAATATTGTATCTTCACCTTAATAAGGAACCAAGTGCTTCTTTCAACATTTTCTACGCTTTTTGTGGACATTTTCCTTTTTGACCCGTTTGTATTTTCACAAGGTCTTGTGCTCGGTTTCGTCGTATTATTTTTTATTGACACCGGCTAAGTCGTTTTTTTAAATGTTACGGATTTTCTACGGAAATGTAAGTTTGCTTTGAAATATTATAAAGTTAATTTCGACATTTCTCAGCGGAATAAAAATGGATTTTCGTTTGTTTCTAGACCGAGGTTGTATTGCATTTAGCTTGCTTCGACGAGGAATTTCATTTGGAAACGGGGTGTTTTCGATGCTTTCTGCATGCCTCAGATGTCTTAAGATACGTTTTCATTATTAGTTTTTAGGCATTTTTTAATACTGTAGTGTCTATGATGATTTCTTAATGAAACAATCACTCATATGAATGTGCACACATTTCCAGTAGAGATTCATTCGATGTAACCACAACCGAATGTATTAAATATTACCCTTTTAAGAGTTTATGAATTTAAAGCACGTTTTTAAAAATAATCAGTAACATACTTGAATTGTTTACTTTTTATGTGCAAATTTGCTAAATTAAATCGATAACGCTGCTTTAAAAAAATCTTTTTTAGTTATTTTTAGTCTTGCATGGAAAGGAGCTTTTGATGAACATTATTTATTTTTTCTTTTTATGGGGGATGGGAGGGGAGGTGTTATAAGTGTTGCCTTTGTGAAGAACCGACAGAAGCACGAGACCTTTTCTCTTTTCAAATAAGCAATGTATGTGTATGTATGACTAGAGGCGCGAGCATGGTTGAATCGACGAATTGATGATGTTGAGGACTGCTTCCATTTTTATTATTGTGCTCTATTATAATTATTAGGCTATTATTATTATTATTATTATTAGCCTGTTGTTATTTTTAGCCTATCATGATATTTGGACAGGCAGATCAGAACAGTGACTATTTTGTCGGTCAGTCGGTCAATCTCGTGACCCGTCTCTCTTCCTCTCTCTCTCTTTCTGCCTTTCTCCTTGTGCTGTAACTCACCTGAGCGCGCGCCCTCGGGGTGGTCCTGACCAGCTGAAGGGAGCAGCTGCAGACTGAGATGATAGAGGAGATTTTTTTTGCTTATCTTGTATTTATTTGAAAGCTTATAGACAGTGGGAAAAATAAGAAAAGTAACCATGATCAGGTAAAATACATTCTTTAACACAAACAGGTTTATTATGTTGCTGGCGTTTTATTGAACAACAACAAAGCATCGAAATAGTAACAGGTGTACAGAGCCACATATAGTGAACATCTAGCCTATATTATCAGAATGAATATACAGCACAGCTACTACTGCTGCCTTGCCCTAAGGCCACCCGGGAAGCAACAGAAATAAAAAACGTAAAAGCAGAAGCCCAAAGCATGTGGCCACAGTCTGAAGAACAGCAGAGGGGAGGAGAGGAAACTGAAGGAGGAGAGGAGAGTCTCTCAGATTTCCTGCCATTCAAAACAAACCAGCCGAGAGAGAGAGAGAAGAGAGAGAGAGAGAGAGAGAGAGAGAGAGAGAGAGAGAGAGAGCAGTAGCTCTTACCCATAAGCCCTAATCGGTTTTGTTTTGTGGATGTTTTTCCTACTCAGCTGTAACTGTAACCAAAGCGTCTCCCTGATATTATAAAAGTGCAGGCTGTGACCGTGCTGACGCCGGGACGCCGCAATTGACTCTGCACTTTAATTAAGAAACTATTTCCCCGCCCATCTGTTACTGCATGCGTCTCTCTCTGCCCTAATCGGCTACAATGATGATGATGATGATAATAATAACAATAATAATAATAAATTGTAACCCTAAATAAACCTTTTAGATTTATTTAAATATATATTATAAAAGGTGGTCATTTGCTCTTTCTTATTGATTTTCCTTCAGATGGTGCCATTTCTCCAGCTGGAAATACATTTTCAACTTGCTGGCCATATAGCTCAAAACACAAATGCCCCCAAACAAGCTTAAATATTCTACAAGATGTTCCTTTTCTTCTTGATCAAGACTATTTATCCTATAGTTTTGCAGTCACATCTGAAAGGAACTCCTCGTGGCAAACACAAACGGCCCAGGCGGTGCAGGGGCCGCCTTAAATAGCCTCCGTTAAAAAGTTCTCAAGGCCTTTTATATTTTAATTAACCGTTACCGATTGTTTTGCCTCGGGGCGCGACGTGAAACCTCTGCACGACGAGACCGGTGAAGGCCGGTTGTCGCAAGAGAGGGAGGGGATGAGAGTAGGGGGAGAAAAAGAGGAGGAGGAGGGATGAATGGGAAGGCCACGGGGCAAAGAGAGAGCAAGAAAGAGCTTTGGTGTAAATTAAGGTAGGCTACCTTAAGTGATTGTAAATGTGATCATATGGTCATTGCTTTGCTATGTTTATATTATTTTGGACAAGAATATAAAGAAAGACTCACCAAAAAGATGTTATGTCATGTCATTATGACACCAGAAAGGCCCACATGGGTGTACTTTTGATTTCAACTCTGGGCAGGAAATCATGTTGACATACAAGCCTTCAGTGGGAGTAACAGCTTAACCTGTAGAGCTAGACTGAAAGCATTCATTAAAATGTGACACCTAGTCTAATTTGTATTTAAAACGACTTTAAAGCCATTCAAGTGAGTTTCTCACAACTAGAAGCGATGTATTTAAAGGTTTACCCCAATCTCTGCACACTCCATTGACCGGTGTCAGATCACTGAGCGCATGAGTCAGATTTAGTTTATATGTCAGGAGGTTTTGGTGGTGAATGCTGTTGCCTGGGTCAGATATATATTCAGCCACCGTCGCCGCAAACCCGAGGCACCAGTTGCACTGCAGACGGTTCTAATAGGGCTTAATGCCGGCGAGTGGCCCCGCTTTACCAGGGGCTGGGAGCGCCGCACCAGATGCGCACTGATCTCCGGACAGGAGCCAGTCCATCTGCCGCCTGACGAGGCAGGGAAAGGCCCGAAACCCCGCACAGTACAGCCCAGAGGCGAGAATTTAGATAGCCCCGAGGTTTCTGGATTGACCGCCGCTCCTGCAGAGAGCAGGGGGCTCTGTTGTCATTTTTAAAGCAAGTGTCAGAAAAGAAGACCGCATGGAGAGGCAGAAGAAGATTAGGACGTGAGCTCATGCGTGGCATTTGCGCACTTGTGATAGGCTACCATGTGTAGCGAAAGTGACCTTAATATTGTAGGCTAATTCAAGAGATATTTGTATAAACCTGAATCTGAAGTGCCCAAACAATAATCAACAAAAAAATAATGAAAGGCCACAAAATTAAAATGTTGAAATGCCTCTACTAACTTCTACAAAAGCAGACCTACCTCAGTCTCTAGTTACATACAGCAAAGGGAATATAATGCAGACTAGGGTTTAGTCTTCATTTATTTAGTCATCATTCATCTCAATTCATTCACCAATCCAACATATTTTGTAAAATACACCAGATTCACTTAAAACATAAAGTTCATAATGTAAATAATGTTGCTAAATAAAGATGATGCCACCCTTCTTGGATTTACTATTAGTCCTGATTGGTTTAAATGCTTAATGAATGGGCCACAACTTATTTCTAATAGATCACAATGGATATAGCCTGCAGTCATTTACCCTTTTGCTACCAGTGTAAACAGTAATCCCCTTACAGGCTTTAAGGCTTCTTTAAGGATATTGTGTCACAGTGTAACACTTAGTAAGCGTTAATGTATTTAGTGGGTGAGGGGATCCATGCTGAGATATAATGGGCCTATAGGCCATACAGGCTAATGTGCCTATTTGAACAGGCTAATATGGAGTCTACATACTGTGCAAGAAGACGTTAGTTTACACATTTATTTTTCATTAGTCAGCTGTAACGCTCTAAATTAGAGCAGTTAGATGGAAAGCTTAAAATCTCACAATAGTGTCTGCTTCCAGTCTACGTGCACATGTGTTGGCCTTGTTTATGAGTCTGTTTGGTTTTAATCAGACACCGGCC